GGAGTACAGAGATTGGATGGCCCTGAGTAGAGACCCCCTCACCCCATATTCCCGCAGCACCTCCCACAGTAACTCCCTGGGAACTCGGTCATACGCCTTCTCCAAGTCTACAAAACACATGTAGACCGGATAAGCGTACTCCCAGGCCCCCTCCAGGATCCTTGCGAGAGTAAAAAGCTGATCCGTCGTTCCACGACCAGGACGGAATCCGCATTGTTCCTCCTCAATCTGAGGTTCGACAATCGGCCTGACCCTCCTTTCGAGTACCTTAGAGTAAACTTTCCCGGGGAGGCTGAGTAGTGTGATGCCTCTGTAATTGGCACACACCCTCTTTCACCGTAACTTTCATGATATCATTTCTCGTTCGTGACCGGTTGTTTCCGTTAACGGACGAATGTTGTGTCACGGTAAATGTTGCGGCTGCAGGGTATTGTGGAACAGCATTTTCTCCTTTCCTTTCCTAAAGGAAGGTCCAGTGTTTCCTAAAGGAGGTTATAAAGGAAGTATTGAAGCTCCTTTCCTATCATCTCGAGAATCAGACAGCTCTTATCATGGCTGCCACAGACCGGGTCCTTTAAGTGCTTCATCACTAAACCATCAACTGGTCTGGTTCCTGTTTGAGTCTCTGCAATGGTTTCTGTTTAATTCATCTTCAATAACTTTTTCTAATCAATCCACCTATTAATTCATCAAACTGGTTTTAATCTGCCGTCTGTGAGGAGTTTCCTTTCAAAACGATCAGAGTAATAGAATCTGAAATGATAAATGACAGCTCAGTACCCTCACACCTGGAGAGGATTGAGTACAGCTGTCTTCTAGAGGGCTTTGACAGGGAACTCTTCACACCTAAATCTTGGAATAAAATAACAATGTTGTATGTTTCATTGTGACTGTTGGAGAAATTAGTCATATTTTAATTTCATTTTAATTTAGTCTTATAAATCAATGGATAAACTACAAGTGACATCACAGTAACACAACTTCCTGTTGCAGCTGAGCTGGTCAAACAGGGAGTTCATGTGTAAATGAAGCCTGCATCTTTAATGGCTTTCCTTTCATCTCCCAGTTTACTGTCCTCAGCATGTCGGACGTTTAACGACTGATAGACTTGAAAGACTTTAATAACTCTGACCTCCTGGTCGTCAGGAATCTTCCCGATGTCAACGCTGAAGATTTCTCCAAAGTCGACCTCCATCAGTTCAAGTGGATCCACTGGGAGGTGGGCAAAAATAATAGAAATACAAATATATGGAAAAATACAGGAAAACATATATGAATGAGTCAGAGAAACCAAAGCAGGCAGATGTACCAGATTAAACCTGGAAAACCTGACTAATCTTAACCTGATTTACCTCGTAAATATAAATGAACTTGACAAAACCTGATAAGCATGATTTAACCTGACCTACGGTGAGGAGGCCCAGAACAGAAACGTGCTGCGGCTTCAGAAAGGATGCATGTAAACACACAAAGGTTCCACATAAAGAAACATCTTCAGCAACTTGACAACACATGCAGCGTTTACTAAAAGCTGCAGAAACCAAACGCTGAAGAAGCTCAAAACACAACGGAGACCAGGGGACACTAAAGAGTGAAGCACACAGCTGGAGACCAGGGGACACTAAAGAGTGATGCACACAGCTGGAGACCAGGGGACACTAAAGAGTGACGCACACAGCTGGAGACAAGGGGACACTAAAGAGTGACGCACACAGCTGCCTGGGAGACCAGGGGACACTAAAGAGTGACGCACACAGCTGGGAGACCAGGGGACACTAAAGAGTGACACACACAGCTGGGAGACCAGGGGACACTAAAGAGTGACGCACACAGCTGGGAGACCAGAGGACACTAAAGAGTGACACACACAGCTGGAGACCAGGGGACACTAAAGAGTGACGCACACAGCTGGAGACAAGGGGACACTAAAGAGTGACACACACAGCTGGGAGACCAGGGGACACTAAAGAGTGACGCACACAGCTGGAGACCAGGGGACACTAAAGAGTGACGCACACAGCTGGAGACAAGGGGACACTAAAGAGTGACACACACAGCTGGGAGACCAGGGGACACTAAAGAGTGACGCACACAGCTGGGAGACCAGGGGACACTAAAGAGTGACGCACACAGCTGGAGACAAGGGGAGACTAAAGAGTGATGCACACAGCTGGGAGACCAGGGGACACTAAAGAGTGACGCACACAGCTGGAGACAAGGGGACACTAAAGAGTGATGCACACAGCTGGGAGACCAGGGGACACCAAAGAGTGACGCACACAGCTGGAGACAAGGGGACACTAAAGAGTGATGCACACAGCTGGGAGACCAGGGGACACTAAAGAGTGACGCACACAGCTGGAGACAAGGGGACACTAAAGAGTGATGCACACAGCTGGGAGACCAGGGGACACTAAAGAGTGACGCACACAGCTGGGAAACCAGGGAAAACTAAAGAGTGACGCACACAGCGAGACCAGGGGACACTAAAGAGTGACGCACACAGCTAGGAGACCAGGGGACACTAAAGAGTGACGCACACAGCTGGGACGGAGCGCTGGGTGACCTTCAGGATTATAAAGCTGGACAGATGTCTCTGCTGTTGGAAACGTAGTTACTGTGACTCACATATTAAACACACAATGCCCTGGAACTAAACGCAGTTCTTTGACGCCTGCAGGGCCGAAACGCCGCGCAGCAGGTGCAGATGATCCAGCAGGTGGAGGTGTTCAACAGACCGCTGCCTCCACAGGAGAGGATCACGCTCTCCCTGGAGATAGAGAAGACCAGAGAGCCTTTGTATCAGCTGTTTCCTCACGGTGACCTGGTGCGAGTCTTTAAAGATCTCTTATCAGGCTAGTTTTAGGCATATATTATGGGTCTCAGATACAAATATATAAAAAACATGTCTATGAAGTGTTTTGCTCAAAATACCAAACAGATCATGCATTTTAGAAATCCCTCTATTTCAGTCTGTTAGAGAACTTCAGGTTCTGGGTCCTTAGCTTGAAAAAAGAGGAGGGGGAGCTAACGCCTGCTCAGAACTCTAGCAGCAGAAACTCAGCTAAATGCTGCCGTGATGAAACTCCACATCATGTTCCAAACCACATCAAGGATTCTCTCTGAAACAGGATGGAGCTCAAACTCCTTCTCTCTCTCAGGTTTACCACAAGGTGACTTCCTTTTGATTTCCTGCTTCTTCACACACACTCTCTCCAGTACAGGTTAGCTCTGAGTATTAGCATGCTAATGTAAACACAGACCGTATTACTTCCAGAACACGTCTCATTGTTTCTGACAGCAACGTTTCTGATTGGCCCGTGGGGGTAAAGCCCACCCACATTTTAGTAATCTGGTCATGACGCAGAAAATCTGGATCAGCTCCGTTGTTCCCTGTTTTTAGAGACGTGGGTACGGAGGAGAAGAGAGAGGGTTTTATTACTGACACTTTGAGAGTCTCCTGACACACCGGGGACACACCGGGGACACACCGGGGGACACACCGGGGAAACACGGGGATACATATTTATGTGTAAAATATGTAAAAAAGTACATTTTGCATGAGAGGAGTCCGTCAGACATGACTTAACATTATCTCTTATAACATAAGTTATGTTTTCCTTTCTTCAGGTGTTTGTCAGTAAAGACGTGGCTCGTCATTTCGGTTTCCAGTCGGCTGGAGCTGCTCTGAAAGGACTCTACAGCCGGGTCAAACAGGGGTGAGTGGAGGTCAATGGTCAGCAGGTGTCGTTCATGTTTCCATCGACCAGTTTTACATTGAGATTTTTCACTTCATGAAAAGTTGTTTAGAAACAACACCGTTCAGCTTTTGATTAAAAGAGGCCTTATTCTGCCTTTATGGTGTTCCCTTTCCTGTAGTTTGTTCTTTAGGTTTCTGTGCATGTAAATGGTCTGCAGAGGCTAACATGCCTGTGTCCAAGTAGAGGCGCTGCAAACTGATATACACCTGAACATCAGCAGGAGAGGACTCTTTAAAGTAGAGACACTACATACTGATATACACCTGAACATCAGCAGGAGAGGACTCTTTAAAGTAGAGATACTACACACTGATATACACCTGAACATCAGCAGGAGAGGACTCTTTAAAGTAGAGACACTACATACTGATATACACCTGAACATCAGCAGGAGAGGACTCTTTAAAGTAGAGACACTACATACTGATATACACCTGAACATCAGCAGGAGAGGACTCTTTAAAGTAGAGACACTACATACTGATATACACCTGAACATCAGCAGGAGAGGACTCTTTAAAGTAGAGACACTACATACTGATATACACCTGAACATCAGCAGGAGAGGACTCTTTAAAGTAGAGACACTACATACTGATATACACCTAAACATCAGCAAGAGAGGACTCTTTAAAGTAGAGACACTACATACTGATATACACCTGAACATCAGCAAGAGAGGACTCTTTAAAGTAGAGACACTACATACTGATATACACCTAAACATCAGCAGGAGAGGACTCTTTAAAGTAGAGACACTACATTCTGATATACACCTGAACATCAGCAGGAGAGGACTCTTTAAAGTAGAGACACTACATACTGATATACACCTAAACATCAGCAAGAGAGGACTCTATAAAGTAGAGACACTACATACTGATATACACCTGAACATCATCAGGAGAGGACTCTTTAAAGTAGAGACACTACATACTGATACACACCTGAACATCAGCAGGAGAGGACTCTTTAAAGTAGAGACACTACATACTGATACACACCTGAACATCAGCAGGAGAGGACTCTTTAAAGTAGAGACACTACATACTGATACACACCTGAACATCAGCAGGAGAGGACTCTTTAAAGTAGAGACACTACATACTGATACACACCTGAACATCAGCAGGAGAGTACTCTTTACATGTAGCTTCACCTCTTTGTATCACCTCTGGTTTTGCCAAACTGAAGGTTTCAAAACCATAGTCCACAAACCACTTGGTCCCATCAATGTGACTACTTCCACTAATTAAATTCAAACCATGATTTAAACAGCATGTATGTCTCTCAGAGCTGTCCTGGTTTGTGCCTGGGCCGAGGAGGGAGCCGATGCTTTGGGTCCTGACGGGGTCGTCCTTCACTCAGACGCTTTTCCTCCTGAAACTCTCGTCGATACTCTCGGAGCCGGAGACACCTTCAACTCTGCCGTCATCTACACCCTGTCCAACGGTGAGACATTACACTGTCCAACTAGAGACATTACACTGTCCAACTGTGAGACATTACACTGTCCAACTTGAGACATTACACTGTCCAACTGTGAGACATTACACTGTCCAACTTGAGACATTACACTGTCCAACAGGAGACATAACACTGTCCAACTGGAGACATTACACTGTCCAACTGGAGACATTACACTGTCCAACTGGAGACATTACACTGTCCAACTGGAGACATTACACTGTCCAACAGGAGACATAACACTGTCCAACTGGAGACATTACACTGTCCAACTGGAGACATAACACTATCCAACTGGAGACATAACACTGTCCAACTGGAGACATTATACTGTCCAACTGGAGACATTACACTGTCCAACTGGAGACATTACACTTACCAACAGGAGACATTACACTGTCCAACAGGAGACATAACACTGTCCAACTGGAGACATTATACTGTCCAACTGGAGACATAACACTGTCCAACTGGAGACATTACACTTACCAACAGGAGACATTACACTGTCCAACAGGAGACATAACACTGTCCAACTGGAGACATAACCCTGTCCAACTGGAGACATAACACTGTCCAACTGGAGACATTACACTTACTAACAGGAGACATTACACTGTCCAACAGGAGACATTACACTGTCCAACTGGAGACATAACCCTGTCCAACTGGAGACATAACACTGTCCAACTGGAGACATTACACTTACCAACTGGAGACATTACACTGTCCAACTGGAGACATTACACTGTCCAACTGGAGACATTACACTGTCCAACTGGAGACATAACATTGTCCAACTGGAGACATAACACTGTCCAACTGGAGACATTACACTGTCCAACATTACACTGTCCAACTGGAGACATTACACTGTCCAACAGGAGACATAACACTGTCCAACTGGAGACATTACACTGTCCAACTGGAGACATAACACTTTCCAACTGGAGACATAACACTGTCCAACTGGAGACATAACACTGTCCAACTGGAGACATTACACTGTCCAACTGGAGACATAACACTGTCCAACTGGAGACATAACCCTGTCCAACTGGAGACATAACACTGTCCAACTGGAGACATTACACTGTCCAACTGGAGACATAACACTTACCAACAGGAGACATTACACTGTCCAACAGGAGACATAACACTGTCCAACTGGAGACATAACACTGTCCAACTGGAGACATAACACTGTCCAACAGGAGACATTACACTGTCCAACTAGAGACATAACACTGTCCAACAGGAGACATTACACTGTCCAACTGGAGACATTACACTGTCCAACTGGAGACATTACACTGTCCAACAGGAGACATAACACTGTCCAACTGGAGACATTACACTGTCCAACTGGAGACATTACACTGTCCAACTGGAGACATTACACTGTCCAACTGGAGACATAACACTGTCCAACAGGAGACATTACACTGTCCAACTGGAGACATTACACTGTCCAACTGGAGACATAACCCTGTCCAACTGGAGACATAACACTGTCCAACTGGAGACATAACACTGTCCAACAGGAGACATTACACTGTCCAACTGGAGACATTACACTGTCCAACTGGAGACATTACACTGTCCAACTGGAGACATAACACTGTCCAACTGTGAGACATTACACTGTCCAACTGGAGACATTACACTGTCCAACTGGAGACATTACACTGTCCAACTGGAGACATTACACTGTCCAACTGTGAGACATTACACTGTCCAACTGGAGACATTACACTGTCCAACTGGAGACATTACACTGTCCAACTGGAGACATTACACTGTCCATAAATAACCTTTATTCTGTGCTCTGTATTTAATGACCTGCAGGGGGCAGTCTTCAGGACGCTTTGACCTTCGGCTGCAGGGTCGCCGGCAGGAAGTGTGGTTTCCACGGTTACGACGGCATCGCCGAAATGAGTGCACTCTGACCAACGATTTCAGATCTGACAGGAAAATCCACATCTTTATTCTTAATTTAAAATCAAATGTATCAAATTTTGTATCCGTTTTTTACGCTGGCCGACGCTGCAGCTTCAGAAAGATGCAGACATAAAAACCCAAAGGTTCCTCATGAAGAGACATCTCCAGCAGCTTGAGGAGACATGGCAGCGTTTAGAGAACATCCAGCAGCTTGAGGAGACATGGCAGCATTTAGAGAACATCCAGCAGCTTGAGGAGGAGACATGGCAGCGTTTAGAGAACATCCAGCAGCTTGAGGAGACATGGCAGCGTTTAGAGAACATCCAGCAGCTTGAGGAGACATGGCAGCGTTTAGAGAACATCCAGCAGCTTGAGGAGACATGCAGCGTTTAGAGAACATCCAGCAGCTTGAGGAGACATGGCAGCGTTTAGAGAACATCCAGCAGCTTGAGGAGACATGGCAGCATTTAGAGAACATCCAGCAGCTTGAGGAGGAGACATGGCAGCGTTTAGAGAACATCCAGCAGCTTGAGGAGACATTGCAGCGTTTAGAGAATATCCAGCAGCTTGAGGAGACATGGCAGCGTTTAGAGAACATCCAGCAGCTTGAGGAGACATGGCAGCGTTTAGAGAACATCCAGCAGCTTGAGGAGACATGGCAGCGTTTAGAGAACATCCAGCAGCTTTAGGAGACATGGCAGCGTTTAGAGAACATCCAGCAGTTTGAGGAGACATGGCAGCGTTTAGAGAACATCCAGCAGCTTGAGGAGACATGGCAGCGTTTAGAGAACACCCAGCAGCTTGAGGAGACATGGCAGCGTTTAGAGAACATCCAGCAGTTTGAGGAGACATGCAGCGTTTAGAGAACATCCAGCAGCTTGAGGAGACATGGCAGCGTTTAGAGAACATCCAGCAGCTTGAGGAGACATGGCAGCGTTTAGAGAACATCCAGCAGCTTGAGGAGACATGGCAGCGTTTAGAGAACATCCAGCAGCTTGAGGAGACATGGCAGCGTTTAGAGAACATCCAGCAGCTTGAGGAGACATGGCAGCGTTTAGAGAACATCCAGCAGCTTTAGGAGACATGGCAGCGTTTAGAGAACATCCAGCAGTTTGAGGAGACATGGCAGCGTTTAGAGAACATCCAGCAGCTTGAGGAGACATGGCAGCGTTTAGAGAACATCCAGCAGCTTGAGGAGACATGGCAAGCGTTTAGAGAACATCCAGCAGTTTGAGGAGACATGCAGCGTTTAGAGAACATCCAGCAGCTTGAGGAGACATGGCAGCGTTTAGAGAACATCCAGCAGCTTGAGGAGACATGGCAGCGTTTAGAGAACATCCAGCAGCTTGAGGAGACATGGCAGCGTTTAGAGAACATCCAGCAGCTTGAGGAGACATGGCAGCGTTTAGAGAACATCCAGCAGCTTGAGGAGACATGGCAGCGTTTAGAGAACATCCAGCAGCTTGAGGAGACATGGCAGCGTTTAGAGAACACCCAGCAGCTTGAGGAGACATGGCAGCGTTTAGAGAACACCCAGCAGCTTGAGGAGACATGGCAGCGTTTAGAGAACATCCAGCAGCTTGAGGAGACATGGCAGCGTTTAGAGAACATCCAGCAGCTTGAGGAGACATGGCAGCGTTTAGAGAACATCCAGCAGCTTGAGGAGACATGGCAGCGTTTAGAGAACATCCAGCAGCTTGAGGAGACATGGCAGCATTTAGAGAACACCCAGCAGCTTGAGGAGACATGGCAGCGTTTAGAGAACATCCTGCAGCTTGAGGAGACATGGCAGCGTTTAGAGAACACCCAGCAGCTTGAGGAGACATGGCAGCGTTTAGAGAACACCCAGCAGCTTGAGGAGACATGGCAGCGTTTAGAGAACACCCAGCAGCTTGAGGAGGAGGCATGGCAGCGTTTAGAGAACACCCAGCAGTTTGAGGAGACATGGCAGCGTTTAGAGAACACCCAGCAGCTTGAGGAGACATGGCAGCGTTTAGAGAACACCCAGCAGCTTGAGGAGACATGGCAGCGTTTAGAGAACACCCAGCAGCTTGAGGAGACATGGCAGCGTTTAGAGAACACCCAGCAGCTTGAGGAGACATGGCAGCGTTTAGAGAACACCCAGCAGCTTGAGGAGACATGCAGCGTTTACTAAAAGCTGCAGGAACCAAACGCTGAAGAAGCTCAGAACACAACGGAAGTGCTGCAGCGTTTGGTTTAGATGTTTCTCGTGATGGAAGAGTTTGTCGGCCTCCTTAGTTCGTCACACAGAAACAAGTCTGCGCTGTTTAAACATGTCAAGTAATGAATAACTGAAAGGAATGAACCGATTAATAAAAAGTAATCATAACTAAAGGTTTGCTGTTTGATAAATGATCTTTATCTGATATAACAATACACTTTTAACAATCTTGTCAAAATGTGTTAATTTATCTTCGACCGGAGGCTGAAGGGAGGCTGTACTTTAGTACGGTTTTGAATGCAGGACTTTTAACAGAGTATTCGTAGAGTACTTCTACTCAAGTGCAATATCTGAGTACTTCTACTTCTACTCAAGTACAAGATCTGAGTACTTCTACTTTTACTCAAGTACAATATCTGAGTACTTCTACTTTTACTCAAGTACAAGATCTGAGTACTTCTACTTTTACTTGAGTACAAGATCTGAGTACTTCTACTTTTACTCAAGTACACGATCTGAGTACTTCTACTTTTACTTGAGTACAAGATCTGAGTATTTCTACTTTTACTCAAGTACAAGACCTCAGTACTTCTACTTTTACTCAAGTACAAGATCTGAGTACTTCTACTTTTACTCAATTACAAGATCTGAGTACTTCTACTTTTACTTGAGTACAAGATCTGAGTACTTCTACTTTTACTCAATTACAAGATCTGAGTACTTCTACTTTTACTTGAGTACAAGATCTGAGTACTTCTACTTTTACTCAAGTACAAGATCTGAGTACTTCTACTTTTACTTGAGTACAAGATCTGAGTACTTCTACTTTTACTCGAGTACAAGATCTGAGTACTTCTACTTTTACTTGAGTACAAGATCTGAGTATTTCTACTTTTACTCAATTACAAGATCTGAGTACTTCTACTTGAGTACAAGATCTGAGTACTTCTACTTTTACTCGAGTACAAGATCTGAGTACTTCTACTTTTACTCAAGTACAAGATCTGAGTACTTCTACTTTTACTCAAGTACAATATCTGAGTATTTCTACTTTTACTCAAGTACAAGATCTGAGTACTTCTACTTTTACTCAAGTACAAGATCTGAGTACTTCTACTTTTACTCAAGTACACGATCTGAGTACTTCTACTTTTACTTGAGTACAAGACCTCAGTACTTCTACTTTTACTCAAGTACAAGATCTGAGTACTTCTACTTTTACTCAATTACAAGATCTGAGTACTTCTACTTTTACTTGAGTACAAGATCTGAGTACTTCTACTTTTACTCAATTACAAGATCTGAGTACTTCTACTTTTACTTGAGTACAAGATCTGAGTACTTCTACTTTTACTTGAGTATAAGATCTGAGTATTTCTACTTTTACTCAAGTACAAGACCTCAGTACTTCTACTTTTACTCAAGTACAAGATCTGAGTACTTCTACTTTTACTCAATTACAAGATCTGAGTACTTCTACTTTTACTTGAGTACAAGATCTGAGTACTTCTACTTTTACTCAATTACAAGATCTGAGTACTTCTACTTTTACTTGAGTACAAGATCTGAGTACTTCTACTTTTACTCAAGTACAAGATCTGAGTACTTCTACTTTTACTTGAGTACAAGATCTGAGTACTTCTACTTTTACTCGAGTACAAGATCTGAGTACTTCTACTTTTACTTGAGTACAAGATCTGAGTATTTCTACTTTTACTCAATTACAAGATCTGAGTACTTCTACTTGAGTACAAGATCTGAGTACTTCTACTTTTACTCGAGTACAAGATCTGAGTACTTCTACTTGAGTACAATATCTGAGTATTTCTACTTTTACTCAAGTACAATATCTGAGTACTTCTACTTTTACTCAAGTACAAGATCTGAGTACTTCTACTTTTACTCAAGCTCTGAGTACTTCTACTTTTACTCAAGCTCTGAGTACTTCTACTTTTACTCAAGTACAAGATCTGAGTACTTCTACTTTTACTCAAGTACAAGATCTGAGTACTTCTACTTTTACTCAAGTACAAGATCTGAGTACTTCTACTTTTACTCAAGTACAATATCTGAGTATTTCTACTTTTACTCAAGAACAAGACCTGAGTACTTCTACTTTTACTCAAGTACAAGATCACAGTACTTCTCCCACCTCTGGTAAAGGTGCATGGTAACAAGGATGTACTCCTCTAATGTTTAAAGATGTTGTAATGAAGGTTAGACCCCTGTGGTGACTGGGTACTGCTTTAGCAAAGAAGACAAAATAATAATATTTTAAACTTCCTGCTGAGAAGAAACGCAACGAGCAGCCAATCAAAACCTCAGGAATCTTCAAACTAATTATCCAAACGACAATTTTTATATTCTGAATTTAGGAGGACTGTTGTCAGCAGTTTAAAAGATCAAACACATTTTCATTGTAGAAACTGAAGCAGAGAGTTAGAGGTCATTTCGAAGGGGTATTTTATTTGTTTACATACAAATACATATGTTTGTCATCGTACATGTTTACACGCTGTCTGTCTATTCCTGGTTGTTGCCCTCCATCATTTCTCTCAGTCCTTTGGTGAAGTGAAGATTGGCTCCGATCACAATGAAGCCCTGCAGAGACCAACACACACATCTGTTAGAGATCAACACACACATCTGTTAGAGACCAACACACACATCTGTTAGAGATCAACACACACATCTGTTAGAGACCAACACACACATCTGTTAGAGATCAACACACACATCTGTTAGAGATCAACACACACATCTGTTAGAGATCAACACACACATCTGTTAGAGACCAACACACACATCTGTTAGAGATCAACACACACATCTGTTAGAGATCAACACACACATCTGTTAGAGATCAACACACACATCTGTTAGAGATCAACACACACATCTGTTAGAGATCAACACACACATCTGTTAGAGATCAACACACACATCTGTTAGAGATCAACACACACATCTGTTAGAGATCAACACACACATCTGTTAGAGACCAACACACACATCTGTTAGAGACCAACACACACATCTGTTAGAGACCAACACACACATCTGTTAGAGACCAACACACACATCTGTTAGAGACCAACACACACATCTGTTAGAGACCAACACACACATCTGTTCACACTGAAACCACGTTCAGTTAAAGCACCAACACATAAAGAACAGCAGCTTACGTTGTGATATTCAACGACTTCCTCAATGAAATCCATCCCATCAGCGAGAGGGATCCGAACTCCTTTCTTTGTCCAGTCTGCACACACACACACACACACACGCACACACACACACACACACACACACACACACACACACACATACATACACGCACGCACACATACACACACACACACACACACCTACATACACACACACACACACATACACACACACACACACACACACATACATACACGCACGCACACATACACACACAC